CCACACCCTGCATGTACGAATTGAACCTGCTGTTTTCCAGCTTGTTGCTCTCCTTCGCATCGATTGGCAGGTGGAAAAGGCTGTGATGGAGCTCCTCACACACGCGCGGGCGCATGGTCTGCCTGTGGATCGGTTGGCCATCCAGGTCTTTGGGCGCAAAGCGAAAGCAACTGTCGCGGCCAAGGCATCAACACCTGCAGAACGTGACCGACTCGACAAGTTCATCGCCTCTGAGGGGCGGGCAAAGAAGTTCATCGCTCGCCACAACCTCAAGTCCAGGAAGCTGCACGGCCAGGCGGGAAGCGTCGACGATGCAGCTATCGCCGACGGACTCCGCAAGGTCCGAGAGATGATCGCGAAGTACGACCCGGACAACATCATCAACTGCGACGAGACTGCGCTTCAGTACAAGATGTTGCCCCGCAGTACGTACACCGCACCTGGGGAGGACAAGCGCACGGTGCGGGGGGTGAAAGGCATGGGATTCAAGGATCGCGTCACGCTGTACGTGGCGGCCCACGCCAGCGGCCGCAAGGTACCACTGGCTATGATCGGCCACTCCAAGAACCCCCGGTGCTTCAGGCTCAGAAAGATGCCCGTCAAGTACTTCAGCCAGTCCAACGCGTGGTCTGACGCGCGCGTCTTCGGCTTGTGGTGGGAGGAGGTGCTTCTTCCGTGGGTGCGTTCCATCACCAGCAAACCCGTCCTGCTCATCATGGACAACCACAGCAGCCACGCGAACCTGGTGGACCCCCGTGGGCAGGTGACGATCCTGGAGCTGCCGCCGAACTGCACCGCCAAACACCAGCCCTGCGACGCCGGGATCATCGCAGCCCTGAAGAAGATCTTCAGGACCTTGCTGCTCCGCATCCGCGTCGACACGATGGACGACGCGGCGAACCTCCGAACGGAAGCGATAAGACGCAAGGTGGTCAGCGGCTGCCACGGGCTGGGGGAGGGATCCGCACCTCACCTGCTCGACGCCGCTGAGCTCTGCAACGACGCGTGGGGGCGTGTTTCTGAGGACACCATCAGGAGGTGCGTGGATTCATTGTTTTTTGTTCAGCTCTCATCGATGTTCATTTTTCAGATGGAGTTTTTGTTGCTTGTGCTTGATCTTTTTTTTTTTTTTGCAACGGTAGAGATTACCTTGGGGTCAAAATTTCATATGGAGCATCTTCTCATATAACAAGGAAAAATTACAAGGAAAACTAAACAAAATCATGGCCCACTGTTTCTCTTTGCGTGCCTCGTTTTTTTTTTTTCTTGCCGCCCGGGTTGCAGGTTCTGGAAGAAGGCAGACATCCTCTCTGCAGCCATGCACGCCGACATCGACGCGGAGATTGGCCGCACGAAGACCACCGGCAAGCAGGACGGAGCGGACGAGCTGGAGACCTTGATTTCGCGCATGAGCTTGCGAACGAAGGGTGCAGAAGACATCGACGAAGACATCGCAGACGCGCTCGCTGGCTTGGGGCTGGCACCGGGGGCGAAGCCCACGCCGGCTGCCATGAAGGCGGTAGAAACANAGCTGCAGACACCATGCCCTGCGCGGCGGGCAGTCGCTGCACGGCTGTCCCCGATCACACGCCAGGCCCGCCGGCGTTCACAAATCACCAATGTAGAGGAGTCTGCGGGCAGTACCTCCATGGCACCTGTGGTGTGGTGGACCCTCAGGGCACCTCCGAGATGCATCGCATCTGCCACAACTGCCTGTCCTCCCGTGAGCGCATGACTTCAGGCGGTAGAAACATGGCTGTCTGTAGAGGACAACGTGGAGGTAGCCGAAGCGATCGCAACAGAGATGGTAGAGGACCTCTGTGATGAGAATTTGGTGGACATGGATCGTTCCTCTGACGACGAGGACGACGACCTGGTTGAGCTAGCTACGCCAATCGGGACAGTCGGCGGCGGCAGCGGCCCCGGCTCCGCCGCCGTACGCGAATGTAGCAACCCATTTTGGTGAACTCGAGGATACTGCCGAGAAGTGCCGCATGTCCGAAGTGTCTTTTCACCTCCGCAAGGCTAAGCTAGCGTGGATGAGTGCCTACGGTTCGAGGGAAACCAAGCAGACGTGCATGAGCGACTTCCTTTGACGGTTGCAGCGCAGATCGTGTTCAGGCTGACAGGTCGCCAGGGTAGCGTTGGTTTCTTGGGTTTGTGTTATTTGTACGGCGAGTGATGTTTTGATATTGTGAAGCTCTTTTTTTTTCGTTGACTTGTGTTTTTGTCGGGGGTTTAAATCGATGGGATGAGAGGTATGAGGGTGTTATGTTGAGGGTACGGTGGGAGGAAGGGGTGCATTGTGTAAACGGGTGCGTCGTTCTTGAGTGCTGGTGCATTCGTTGCCTCGTGTTGTCCTTCTAGAAGAGGTGCGACTATGAAACACAGCTATAAAACAACTCAACCAAAAACCTTTTACGTGTCCACGTGCAAAATGTGCATCGCATCACACAACGATGATTTATTTTCCGAACGCAGATCCACCAAAAGCGTACCACGTACAGCAGTACTTGGGTCCACGTGCTTGCCAACCAAGAGAATGAGCGGTGTTTGAAGGTAGCCCGACGTGGTAACGCTAGCTGCGCAAGTGACATGCATGATACGCTCTCTTCATGACCTATTTTGGCATTCGAGTGTAGTCAGTGCGCGAGAGTCCCTGTTTCACGACCTTTAGTTTTGTCTACGATCTATGAGAATATTCTCTTATAGTGAGATACTGTTTAAGAGAATTCTCTCTTATACCGTAGCCAACACGATATAACAGAAAGCCGGATTTAAGAGAGTGAAATTGGCTTGTACCGACCCTCTCTTAAACCGTAGCCGCTACTGTAGCTTTTCTTCCGCGAGCGTTTCGTTCGGTGTCGCCACTGCTGCTGTAGCATTTGTTAACCTTCACCCATGCGCAAAACCGTTACCTCTTTGGCAGGAACATTCAAGTATGTATATCGTTCGGCCACGCTCCATATTGTATGCATATCGCACATGTACATAGTGCCTCCATCGTGATTGTACCAACGCTCGCACAGCCTATAACCTTGGCATCACCCACAAGAAGGCGGTGATACGCATATTGCTTGCGTGATGCTTGGAGGACTTTACATATCGACAAGTGCAATCTCACTTACCCCTCGATTCCGTCCCAAATTACATGTTTGTGCCAATTGGACTGGGGTGTCAGGGCAGGCAATCTGGACAGGTACTCTGGTGTAACGATCAGCTGTTGCAGCTTGGTAGCTCGCCAATGGTCCGACCACAAAGCAATTTTCTCGAGACGCACATTTGACCCTCTTGCACGTCCTATCCATTTTCCGCCGTGCTGGTCCGCGGTGTTTTACGCTCCACCGGTTGCCTTCAGGGTTCCTCGCCTGTGTCCTGTGCTACAGCCCCCGTCAAGTGGTAAGCAACACTTCGTTGCGATATTCTCGGTTGAGCGCGACCTAACATATGTACACAAATTCGTGAACGGCATCGTTGTTTTGTCCAGGCCTACGGAGCTCCTGGCGCGAGCATGGGCGGCTATGGCGGGCACGCAGCAGCAGCCGTAGGAGGGGGAGGCATGCGGGCTGAGGGAGTGGGCGGCCGAGGGGTGGGGGTCGGGGTCGTCGGTGCCATCCTGGAGGACGAGGAGGACTACGAGAACGAGCCCCCCTTGCTGGAGGAGTTGGGCATCAACTTTGAGCACATCTGGTCGAAAACGCTCGCGGTGATCTTGCCCACGAAGAAGATCGATATCAACTACCTGGTGAGTTCGTAAGTTGTTGTCCGTGGGAGGGTGGGGTGTTTGAACGCCTGACTTCGGTGATGAGGGAATTCCTTGGTGCGGTACCAATTCTCTAGATTGGGGGCATTCGATGGTGTTGCTGTGTGCGGCTCCTGCCGTACCGCGCGTGCCATTGCTGCATACCTGGGTGTCGCCAAACACCGCCTGCCTACCGCTGATACATAAGGACGGCAGAAACAGACGCCCATGCTCTCTCTCTACAGTTTTCGTTGTGTGCCTGGGAGCTTGTCGTGTGGGAAATTCTCCACGAAATTTCCAAGCCAAGCATGACGTGTTTGGGTACCAATCCTGGTTAGTGGTTTTGCAAGACCGCGGGTTCTGGAAAATCACGTAGAAGGGGCACGCGAGATCACCCCCCGTTCAGAGCATCTCACCCGGGGCAAGGCCCTGTTGAAAGCCCCCTAGTTGTCCAGAATGCGGTGTTGTGAGAGCCAGCCAGGGCCAGCTCGTAGCCAGTGGGCGGGAATTGTTACCGTGTGTTGAGCTGAGGCAAATGACTGGCCCAACAGTCGACGTGCTGACAGCTCGATGACGGTACTGTATCCATGATGAACACCGGCCGCCCGGTAGTATCGGCCGTTTGTTGGTATTGCACGAGCAGTTGCTTGTGAAGCTCCCATCGGCCACGCTGCACAAGGCTCTACTCAGCTGTTGATGTTGCTGCTGCTGCCGCTGCTGCTGCTGCTGTGTCCTTCCTTCCTGCTGCCATGTGCGATTCTGGTGTCTCCTATTATTCTATAAACATATCTGGCTCTCTCTCTCTCTCTCTTTTTCTCTTTTCTCTCTCTCTCTCTCTCTCTCTCTCTCTCTCTCTCTCTCTCTCTC